CATTTAGGATTTCCAGGAGCTTGTAGATCTCATTGGAGTAGTAAGTAGAATGCTCTCCTTCAAATTCCAGGCCCTATATGTGAAATGAACTCCCCACTAGGGAGAGGAGAGTGCATAGGGCAGGGTCTCTTCCTCAGCCTCCAGAAGGTGTTTGATAATTTTGGGGGTCACAGAGGAATCAAAAGAAAATGCTAAGGGGCTAAGAAAGACAATTTGTTTCACTGGTTCACTCACTTATTCATTCACTCATTTTCTCTACTCAGATTCCCCACTGGGTTTGGCGAATTGTTCAAGGCCCTGGGGATACAGGGAACATGACACTCTGTACTGGTTACTTTTTGGTTGCTGTGATAAAACACCATGACCAAGGGAACTTACAGAAAGAAGAGTTTATTTGAGCTTTCAGTTCCAGAAGGATCAGAGTCCCTCATGGTGGGGAGGCATGGTGGTAGGAGGTAGCTGGGTAGAGCCCTCACATCTTCAAGCAGGCACAGGAAACTGAGAACAGTTGGAAATATGGCAAGACTTAAGAATTCTTAAAGCCTGCCCCCCACTGATGTGCTTCTTCCCGCATGGCCACGCCTTCTAGGATGTCCCAAAATAGCACCACCAACTGGGGACAAGATGTCCAAATACTTAAAGTCTGTGGGGGACATTCTCATTCAAACCACCACACTCTAGGCTCACATTCAGTACACACTGTAGTTGGGGGACAGTCTAATTAACTGGTGAACAAATAGATATGCAATGCAATTTCAGGTTATGACATGTCTACGAAGAAAAGGAAAATGAAGGTGTTAGGGAGTGTTGTTTTAGACTGGGGACAATATGAGGAAGAGTATCTTTAAAGAAGTGATGCTTGGGCAGAGACCTCAATGAGGAGTAAGCCCCATGGGAACTGGAGAGCTGTGTGGCCCTGACTTCATCGAGGAGACCCTGGGCCTGTGGCTATTATCACAGCTGTTGTGGGAGACATGCTCACTGTCTCAGCCCCTGTTTTGAGGCCATCACTGATTCACTGTATTGAGTAACATACCTTTGTAAGACTACTTTTGTTTAAAATCCTGTGCTTTACAAGAATCTCACGAGAGTTGGTCAGTGTCTAGCTAGAAATTATTTTTTATTTAATTTATTTTTTATTCCAAAGAGAGGCAATTTTAACCTATTTTTTTCCAGAAACAACTTGAAGCAGGTTACATAAAAATATACATACAATGAAGTTTAAGGGGGAAAATATAGGGCTAAGAAATCAAAGATGAAAGGATTTGCCAACATGGGATCAACTTTGGTGGAATAATGAAGGTTTCCATTAGCTCTGCTCTTTTTTAAAAAAATCCTAACTAGTTTATTGGGCTTGCTAACAGAGCATAGGGTGGGGGTTTATTTACAGAAGAGTGGGCGTCCTCCACCATTTATGGCTGCACTGGAAAATCTACACTCAAATATAGATCCTGTGACCTCCTGACAGCCACACAAAATGGCAAGAGAGGTGCCTCATGGCGTTCTCGGCTTATATACCCTTAGCCCCTTCCCCACATGCAGCTAAGGTTGATTAATTGGGTGGAATGGATAACTGACTGCCCCCTCGACTCCTTGATGAACATGGGAAGGAGGTGTGCCTGTTGCTTGTCGGCATAGTGGTTGAGCAAACACCCCATCCCTCCCCTGGCACTTACACAATAGCTTCAAAAAAAAAAGTTTTGTAATAAACCTGACCAAAGACATCAAAGATCTCTGCAATGAAAAATTTAAATCTTTAAAGAAAGAGATTGAGGAAGACACCAGAAGATGGAAGGACCTTCCATGCTCATGGATTGGAAGAATTAATATTGTGAAAAGGACCATCCTACTAAAAGCAGTATGTAGATTCAATGCAATCCCAATCAAAAACCCCATGAAAAAAAAATCCTTAAATTTGTACAGAAGCACAAAAGATACTGAATAGCCAAAGCAACACTGAACACAAAGAGCCATGCTGGGGGGATTACTATACCAGAGCTCAAAGTATGCTAAAGAGTTATAGTCATAAAAATAGTGTGGTACTGGAACAAAAATAGACACATAGACCAATGGAACATCACTGAAGATCCAAACCTGGGTACATGCAATTTCAGCCACCTGATATTTGACAAAGGTGCCGAGAACACACAATGGAGGAAAGACAGCATCTTTAACAAATGATGCTGGCAAAACTGGATCTCTGTAGAAGAATGAATCTAGATCCTTATCTTTCATCTGTACAAAACTCAATTCCAAATGGATCAAAGACCTCAATGTGAAACCCAAAACTCTGAAACTATTGGAAGAAAACATTGACAGTAACCTACAAGGCATAGGTGTAGGAAAGGATTTTCTAAATCAGACACCAGTTGTTCAGGAATTAAGGTCAAGAATCAACATGTGGGACCTCATTAAGCTAAAAAGCTTCTGTACAGCAAAAGAAACAATCAAGAACGTGAAGAGAAAACCCAGAGTGGGAAAAAAATCTTTACCAGTGACACATCTGACAGAGGTTTAACATCCAGAATATATAAAGAACTCAAAAAACAAAGAACCAAGAAAACAAATGACCCAATTAAAAGATGGGCTAAAGATCTAAAAAGAGAGCTATCAAAGGAAGAAATAAAGATGGCTAAGAAACATCTTAAAAAGTGTTCAACATCATTAGTAATTAGGGAAATGCAAATTATAACCACCTTAAGATGTCACCGTACCTCAGTTAGACTGGCTAAGATCAGGAGAACAAATGATATGAAATGCTGGTAGGATGTGGAGAAAGGGGAATGTTCATTCACTGCAGGTGGGATTGTAAACTTGTGCAACCTCTATGGAAAACAGTGTGGAGAACTCTTAAAAAACTAAAAATGAACCTACCATATGACCCGGTTATACCACTCCTTGGCATATACCCAAAGGACTCGTCCTACTGCACAGACACTTGTACAACTGTTTGTTGCTGCTCTTTTCACAATAGCTAAGAGATGGAAACATCATGAGTGTCCCTCAACTGACTAGTTACTGAAAATGTGGTACATTTACACACTGGAGTTCTACTCAGCTGTAAAGAAAGATGAAATAATGAAATTTTCAGGTAAATGGATGGATCTAGAAACTGGTATATAAGTGAAGTAACACAGACTCAGAGAAACAAAAGACATATGTTCTCCCTCATTTGTGGATCCTAGCACCAAATCCTTATACTAGGTGGAATCCCACTGAAAAGGGGCAAGAACCCATGGAAAGAATGTCAGAAATATTTTTTATCATACCATATCTCACTTATATGCTGTATTAATTTTATATTCTTTATTGTTCTTTTTTTAAAAAAGATATTTTATTTATAATTTTTATTTTATGTGTATGCATGCATTGCCTGCATGTAAGTAAGTGTACCCATGTTGTGCAATGCCCGCTGAGGACAGAAGAGATTGTTGGATCTCCTGGAACTGAAGTTTTGGACAGTTGTTAGCTGCCATGTGGGTGCTTGGAGTCGAACCTGGGTCTTCTTCAAGAACAGTGTTCTTAACTGCTGAGCCATCTTTCCAGCCCCTCTATTATTCTCTAATTGAAATAACTTTTAAAAATTCTGTGTACCCATAAATGTATGTATGAGTATATGTGTGATGGGCACATGAGGAGGTCAGAGGACAACTTCTGGGAGTTGGTTCTCTCCCTCCACCATCTGGGTATTGAGATTTAACTTGGGTCTTCAGACTTGCATGGTAAGTGCTTTACCCACTGAACCATCCTGTTAGTATTTCTAAATTTGGTGTTGGTGTGTTTCCAGAGATTGCCTCAGCTATGGAAAGCTTCATGTGTGCTCATGATCACTTCCCTATTCAATGACCCTTCCTCATCCATTCATACATGAGAACTTGTATATATAAATAATATGCCATTCATTTGGGTGGCAACATGTCCTTTATAAAATATACATAAAGGATTTTGCAGACTTAATATGAAAAAAGTAAATGATCTCATTAGTGATTTTTCAGGTATTTCTTACATGCTGAAATGCTATTTTAGGTATAAATTAGGTTAAGTAAAATATGTTACTAAAATTGATTTTCATTTGACTCTTTTTATTTTGAAAACTGACGACTAGAAAATATAAAATTAGGTATCTAGTAAAAGCCATATAGACTGGACAACCTCACCCTCCAACGAAGGGAGGTCCACAGTGAGCTAGCCCACTGAGCTGAGAAGAAATTGTATGATTGCTGCAAGGCAGGGCTCTTTATAGAACCAGGAGATAGCAAGGCACGCTATATATGACATCACTTTAAAGATGTGTGGTTTAGTTATATAGACAGCTTCTTGCTGCTTGCCAAGAAGATTTATGGCTGAAGAAAGTGCCTTGTAACCTGGTCACCTGCCCACGTTCTGTCATTACTTATCTGGTACCAGGCTGAGATTTCTTAACTTTGCAGTGCTGGAGTTTATTATTTTTATTTTGTGTGTATGCGTGTATTGCCTGCATGTATGTAAATGCACCCATGTTGTGCAATGCTTGCAGAGGTCAGAAGAGGGTGAGGATACCCTGGAACTGGTATTACATATGGTTGTTAGCCACCATGTGGGTGCTGGGAATCGACCCCGGTCCTCTGCAAGAGCAGCCAGTGTTCTTAACTGCTGAGCCACCTTTCCAGCCCCCAGCCCTGGACTTTATATTTACCCTTCATTTCATGTGGTCATAGTCTTGTGAGGAGAAAGACGCCAGTGGAGTGAAGAGAGGAGAGGTTGGGAAGAGTTGAGGTAGCAGGATTATCTCTGAATAAAGGAGACAAGAGCAGATGAAGAACAGAACAGGAAGGTCTCATTTGCCATAACAAAAGTTTCCAGAAGTCAGAAGGTCAAATGATTCTTCTCTTTCTGTGTTGGCCCTGGCCCTGACCTTGAGACCTCACTATTGCAGGAGAGCAGACGACTCTAAAAGGGAATCTGTTCGGACCTGGAGCCAAGGGTTCTGGTAAGACTCACATCGCAAGTCTCTCTTCTAGGGCCATGTTCTGCAATGACCTGAAAGAAAAGTATGAGAAGAAGATCATTATTAAAGGGGTGGATGCTGAGACCATGCACACACTCCTGGACTACACGTACACCAGCAAGGCTATGATCACCAAACAGAATGTTCAGCGGGTCCTGGAAGCTGCCAACCTTTTCCAGGTGTGTGAACAAACCAGGTTTGGGCTCTTCTCTGAAGCAGGTGAAAGCAGTGAGTCCCGCGAGCATTCTTGGGTTGGCCCCCAGACCTCCTATGTCTGGGGTGTAGACACACCACACAGAGAGAGA